ACTTTGACATTTGTCTAGGCATTTAATATATGATCTAACATTCTTTAACATTGATTTAGGAATGTCATATCCATGATCTATTAATCCAAAACTCTTTAATTTATGCTGATTTTGGTATTTCGTATCAATGACAAAAAGCTTTCGTTACTTAAAATACTCTCTACCACTCGTCTACGTTTTCATTAATACACTAACATCCACTAATACATATTTTCGATAATTACATCACGCGTACGTTATTGGCCTGGGAGCTTCATTCTCATGAATCGTGAGCCAATCGCCTTCCGTCTTGATTGACGAGAGCAAGGCTCCCAGACCAAGAATGTATTCATGACGTATTATCGAAAATGTTATGGTAGTCCTATGTATGTCATATCGTTGATCTAACAACTTTCCAATGGTAATCTAGGCATATCTGATCATGATTGGAGGGTGTTAGATCAATGACATGACATGCGTACATCAGTGTTTAATAGGGGTTGCTAAATCAGTTATGATCAGACATGCCTAGATTATCATTAGAGGTTGTTATATCAATAATAAGACATGCCCATATTACCAGTAGAGGGTGTTAGATCAATGAAATGACATGCGTACATCAGCGTTTGGGGTTGCTAAATCTGTTATGATCAGACGTGCCTAGATTACCAAATGGAGAGTGTTAGATAAATAATAAGACATGCCTATATTACCAGTAGAGGGTGTTCGATCAATGAAATGACATGCGTACATCAGTGTTAGGGGTTGCAAAATCAGTTACGATCAGACATGCTCAGATTACCATTGGAGGGTGTTAGATCAATGGTATGACATGCCTATATTACCAATGGAGGGTTGTCAGATCAATGAAATGACATACGTAGATCAGTGTTAGGGGTTGCTAAATCAGTTACGATCAGACATGCTTAGATTACCATTGGAGGGTGTTAGATCAATGGTATGACATGCCTATATTACCATTGGAGGGTTGTTAGATCAACGAAATGACATACGTAGATCAGTGTTTGGGATTGCTAAATCAATTATGATCAGACATGTCTAGATTACCTTTGGAGGGTGTTAGATCAATAATAAGACATGCCTAGATTGCCATTAGAGGGTGTTAGATCAATAATAAGACATGCCTAGATTACCATTGGAGGGTTGTCCGATCAATGAAATGACATACGTAGATCAGTGTTAGGGGTTGCTAAATCAGTTACGATCAGACATGCTTAGATTACCATTGGAGGGTGTTAGATCAATGGTATGACATGCCTATATTACCATTGGAGGGTTGTTAGACAATGAAATGACATACGTAGATCAGTGTTAGGGATTGCTAAATCAATTATGATCAGACATGCCTAGATTACCATTAGAAAGTGTTACATCAATAATAAGACATGCCTATATTACCAGCAGAGGGTGTTAGATTAATGAATTGATATGCGTACATCAGTGTTAGGGGCCATTCACAAAGGATGTCCGGCCAAATAATGGATTTTCAGACCCCCCTTGTCCGGCTTTGTCCGAATTAGTGACCCCCTCCCCCGGACATCTGCCATGCCTTGCAAAAACTCACGCAACCTTGTATATATCAAGAGTAAAAAACTTTTTTTACTTTTAGAACTTTTTTATAACTGTAAATGTGAACACAAAAACATATAAATTACTAATTAAAACAAAATCTAGTGTTAACCGCATAGTCAAAATGCCAATTTCACAATGGGAAGGACTGCTCAAAATAGAGGGAAAAAGAAGTTTGTTTTTGAATTTTTTTAAATTTCGGACATTCGGATTGCTAAACCCCCCCTCCCCCCCTATGTCCAAGTTTATCCTGATCGGCTCGGACATCCTTTGTGAATGGCCCCTTAACCCTTTATAGTGGCAATGTCCCTACTTTAGTATATTACTCCGTCTGGTGCCAGACAATTTTACTCAAGGGCAGAATGTAGACTTGCCACAAGTCGACCTCGAACGAAACGTCGGCTCACACTCGCTGCTTGCGTTTCGTTCGAGGTCGACTTGTGGCAAGTCTAGGCAGAATGCTGCCACTTAATGAGTTAATATATTCTCAGAACAATTACCATCAAATTTAATCTATTTTGCTGGCAAAATTGCCTTGGAGGGGGTCCTTGATTTGTTGAGTCTTTTTTTTTTGGCAGAATAGCAACTGGTTTCAGAATAGGAAGAATTGTTGTAATATAGGTAATATAATTCTAAGACAAATCATCCAAAGGAAGCAATCATTCTAGCTCTTGTAGTGTATGTTGCAACAGGGATGGATTTACTGGGGGGGAGGGGAGCTGTGCACTCCCCTAGCCCTGGCCAGAGGGGGTGCTATTTTTCATGATAAAGCAAAAAATTATTACAGGCAAAATGAGATACAGTAATTTGAGTAATAACATGATGATAAGCGAGCTGTGAACAACAATTACAATTCAAATACAGTAGTAAAGCAAGACTTTGCAGTAGTGAAGCAAGTTGATGGGCGGGCGGCACACATGACCAACACAACTCGGCACCAGAGCTGGCAGAGCACGCCCCACCCCACCCCACCCCTACCAGATCATGCTGGATCCATCCCTGTGTTGCAAAATGTATTTTCTTCATAGTCAGGCATTCACATGAATGAAGATTAGAATTGCATCATGTTATATAGTCTTAAATATTTAGGAGGGTCTCCATTATTAAATTAAGAGATTAAAAAGGGGTCCCATGACATTTTGACATAAGAATCTCCCACCCCACCCTAGGGTATAATGAATGGTCACTTAAAGTACATGCCATCTTCTAACTGGTTGGGCACTTTGCCCCTTTTGTGATGGAAAATCTATTCCCTACCTTTATCCCCTGGTACAAAAAATTCAAATCAACTCTCCACCCTGATAATGTGCAGATGGTAACAGCAAGAATAGAAGTAAGCAAGCTTTACTGGAGTACATACTATTATTAGGAAGCATCAATTCGCACATGCTAATTTGCCAGGCATGATTTTAAACGGAATATTTCTTATCTCGTATAGAATTCTTAAGGTCTTGTTTACATTTTACTGGAAGCAAACTAAGATGCATATCCAATATTTGGGTCATATCACTCATATGTCAGTTTTGCAGCTTGCCAGCTTCAACAACATTTGGCTGCAAGGAAAACGTAAACAAGGAAAGAGCATATAACACTTCATCTGTGTTTAAAATATCAATGAATAAATATTCCAACCATTGGCACTTTATAATATAAGTGACATTCAACAATAGATCAATAACATGTACAGTATATGCAAAAACATTTTTTTGAATCACTGTATAAAATATTCCTCATAAACTCGCTCCAATCATCGCACAGCAGAGTCTTTGGAAGGGTAAAACCAAGTTTAACATCCCCAGTTCAAAACACTTTCCGTGTCCTCTTAGGCAAGCCTGTCCAGCTGGAGAACATCTATTAATTTTGTTTAGCGAACGAACGATATTTACCAAACCCAGTTGGAAGAACAGCAACTACATAGTTCCCAAGTAATAAAAGCTGAAGAATCTGATTTCGAGTACGTCGGTAGCAAAAAGAAGGAAAAATTTCAAAGACTAAACGCATTTTTAAGCCGCTCTAAGCACTTAAATTTTGTGGACACTCTTAGGTTGGCGGCCATCTTGGATTTTCTAATTATTATTATTATAATTTATTACACCCAATTACACCCACTATATCTGGGTGTTGAAAGTCATGTGACCGGCCGGTGCCAGGGCCTTTTCCCGCCTTCCCAATGACAAAAAGGGAAAAGCCCTGGGAACGAGGTTGACTATTACTAAATATATCTTCAGTGATTTTGCTGTTGGTTCTGCTTTTCTTATGGGTATGGTACCAGTGAACATCTGTGCTTCTTATATGCACTGACAATGGCGTACCAAACGATACCATTTTCATACATTTTATCAATTCTGTAAATAGCTTACACTTGTATTTTATAGCTTTTAATTTAAAGGTGATCTACAGTCCGTATGTAAACAAAGCCTTTGTTTACATTTTTGTGTCCCAAATATTGAGCTTTATTCGACAACTATTTATATTTTCAAGCTTCTAGAGTATAATAAATGATCAAGAAACAACATTATATCCTTTAATCAGGCTTTTCAAGAACTCAAAACATAGTTAAACTGTTTGTATCATAAAAAGTGGGCTCATTTGTGCACATGCGCAGATCGGACTGTAGATCACCTTTAACTAAAATTTCGATCTGGACAAAAATTTCATTACAGCTTGAAAGAGCATCACAAAATTAGTAATATTCCAAAGTTTTGTTGCAAAATCTTGTAAAATGCGAATAATATAGCCTTGCGAAGTTTGCCGTTTTTCAGTCATTTTGTATTACAAACGGGAAATTGACATCCGATTCGGGTGTTGGGGCTGCAATTTCCCGTTTGTAATGCAAAATGACTGAAAATTGCAAACTTTGCAAGGCTCTATTTTCCTCATTTTACAACTTTTCGCAACGAAACTTTGGCATATTACTAATGTTGTGATGCTCTTTCAAGCTGTGATGAAATATTTGTCTAGACTTGCCTAGATCAAAATTTTGGTTATAAGGGGAAAGGTCTATTACGAGCTTTACTGACCCTTACTGACTAGCAGATAATAACAGGAATTGCACCCAGTGAACATGCTTAAGTAGACTAAGTATAATTTTAGTAATGTGGGTTTTCAATAAATATAGATTGCTTGATATTTTGTCTATATCCGCCCCTGACGTTTTAGTAAACTAATAGTATAATACTGTATAAAAATACTACAAAGGCAGATGTCAAAGTATGCTATACGTGATAAAAGTATAAAATATCATTCAAGTGAAGTAAAAATTGAACTTGTTAAGTACCTTTGTTACGTAATTTCTGTGCTCAAATCCATCTTTGAACGACACTCTTTCGACGATTTCAAATAAGAAACGATTTAACCAAGCCGAAAGGTCCCGAACAGCACTCTACATGCAGTGAGTCAACTGAACTAGCGTGTCACTGTGCTTGCCTTAGCAGTCTTTGCAGAACACTCATCTGCATGTACTGTATAAATCACTATTGAAATAACGTATTGTTAGAATTTGAATGCTTCGGCACTTTGCTGAACCCACAAGTGCATTAAAGCTTGACATAAGTAAATTTTATGCATAAAGAAACTGTTTAAGAAGCTGTTTTAAAATCCCAAGAGCAGAAAATCGTGCGCTTTACAAAGATATTTTAAATTCTTAATATAAGTCAGTATTTATAATACAGTCTTATAAAGATGTCAATATTTTACCCATCTTTGCGTTCCGATTATACAGGGTGTTCAAAAAAAAGGAGACCTTTAGAAATCAAGCATATTGTTAAAATTTAAATGCCTTTTCAATAGACATTTCCCCTTATAACCAAAATTTTGATCTAGGCAAGTCTAGACAAATATTTCATCACAGCTTGAAAGAGCGTCACAAAATTAGTAATATTCCAAAGTTTCGTTGCGAAATGTTGTAAAATGAGGAAAATAGAGCCTTGCGAAGTTTGCAATTTTCAGTCATTTTGCATTACAAACGGAAATTGCAGCCCCAACACCCGAATCGGATGTCAATTTCCCGTTTGTAAGACAAATGACTGAAAAACGGCAAACTTCGCAAGGCTATATTATCCGCATTTTACAAGATTTTGCAACAAAACATTGGATTATTACTAATTTTGTGATGTTCTTTCAAGCTGTGATAAAATTTTTGTCTAGATCGAAATTTTAGTTCTAAGGGGAAAGGTCTATTGCACATATGCTGAACCGTAGTGCGTGAAATACTAGAGAGTTTAAGTTCGACTTCCAATACCAATACCGTCATTTTGGTACCGGGAATTTTAAAGCGTTAAGTTATCACAACAGATAAAGTATAGAACACAATAATCGTCACCGAAAATGTGCGGTATACTAAACGGCAGCTGAGCTAAAATTCCGACTAAAACATGACTCAGGCGATGCTAATAAACAAATAGTTTACATGTTTATCGTAAAAATTATGAAATATCCGATTTATATGAGTTTATCTCACAATTCCCCCAACTTCCAATACAAGGCCGACTTCGGTAGTGGTGACTTCCAATACACTTGTCCTCGTGCTTCTTGCGAGCAGAGAGCATGCGCATGACATGTTGTTAGTATCGGTATTGGAAGTCGAACTTAAACTCTCTATTGGTGGAGTGCATATATTAGAAAAAGGAGACCTTTAAAAATCAAACATTGTTGTAATTTGAATCCTGAAGCACTTTGCTAAGCCCACGAGTGCGTAACATGCGATCTACGTACAGTATGCATGGCAGATTGCAGGATCAGACAATCCTGTGTTTAAACGTTATTTCAATTTTTAAAAGTCTCCTTCGGGGTGCATATATTAGAAAAAGCACAGCAACCCAAGCGTTGATCTGTGTTAGTATTGTATGTTTTCAGTTTATTTATTTTAATGTCTTTATAGTGCCTTTTAATTGAATTATAACACTAAATTACACTAATATGTCATATAATAATAATACTCCTATAGTCGAACATATAATAACAACGTATAAGTTGATTTGTATTTGTATGTTTTTCAGTTTATTTATTTAAGTTCTATTATTAGCTTATATAAAAGTACCGCCTTTCGAACCTGACAGCCCGTTCGCAGGATACGCGCGTGATTTGAAATAGGGGGTAGCCTGCTCGCAGGCCGTTGTCAGGCAGAGGCTGCATGGGAGGAACGGCCTGCGACCCTTATTTAATAAAAAGTCGATTTATGCGTATAGCCTCCTCCGCAGGCCTCTCTATGGGTTTTAGCCTGCGAATGGGTTTTGAAAAAAAATTTTCTGGGAGAGAAGCCTGCCGTAAATCGAACAAAATAGACGTATCTCAAATATTAGTGGCCGTGTTACGTTACCCCACCCCCTAAGTAGGCTTTTAACCCTAATTATATATTCAGTTTGAAATCTTCGGGCGAGGAGAGAAACTTGCAAGTATAAACATAGGCAGCCCAAAACGGCGTGTAGAATGCACCAATAATGCTTCCAAATGTCAATTTGCATTAAGCTCGCCCCATTCCTTTGTCATTTGTCGCGCGCCGCAAGCACTCAATTGAAAAGCAGTGTTGACCCAATAATGCCCCTATACACACAAGCCCTCTTTGTCTCATCCTTGGCAGGGGCATGCCTGCTTTTACTCTGTCTAACATCAGACAATTTTACTCTTCAGTGGGAGAGTGCAGACAATGAGTTAGTCTAAAGCTTACCAAATGTATTCATTGCTGTAAACTTGTCACAGCTTACAGTTAATATATAGCCACCATTGGAAGGCTATTACCAAGGTGGTTGCTGTGGAATATGACAATAGCAAACCACTAGCTATCACTGGGACGTTTCCTCAGTGACTGATTGTTACAGGGAAATTTGCCTTGCAAAATGGCTTTTATCCATGCAAATATTTTGCCTGTGAACTTGGCAAGCAAAATGGAATGTAATGCCTCCATTGGTTAACAAATCCAAGCCAAATGTTATTAAGACAGGTCTTTATAGTCTGTTGCACCACATAAGCCGTCACTTGGAAATCTATTAGATTCCTATTAAATTCCAGTTGTCCTTTCCCTTATGTCTAGGCACCTCACACCCATATATTAAAAGTTAAAACAGGGCTATTGATTTAATTTATAAGAAAACGTTTGCTATTAATAAATTTTTGCCACATCTGAGACACTAGGCCTACTCTGGGGCGGTAAATCGCCTTAAATCGCCCTAAATCGCCTAAAATCGCACTAAATCGCGGGTTAAAATTGTCGAATTTCTCCTAAATCGCCTAAAATCGCCTAAGATCGCTTAAAATCGCCAACATGCATTCTGCTTGATACATTCAGTCCATGTACTCAAGTTTATCAATTGCTGCTATTTTACGGGCAAATCATGTAATCCAGGTGTTTGCAATGAAAGTAATGCAACATGAATTAGCAATCAAATAAGTGGATTAGGCTGACAATATTTGGTCACTCAATAGGCACCGGTCATTGACAAAAACAGAGCCTTTTCTGCTTTATGCAGACTTTACAATAATTAGGTAATTCTGGGATCTGAAATACCCATAGATCCGATACACTGCAAGCAACAAAATTGAGCTAGTTACCAGAATGAGCTAATTTCATTATTGGTGTTAATGGAGGCTGGGCTACAATTTATATGGACTATGGAGGCTGGGCTACAAATTAATCTATAATCTAGCTACATTGCTGTTAAGCCTGGTTCACATGTCTGCGATATGCCTGCGACGTCATTGTTTACAGCTGTTGATGCATTCTTTTGTGAATTATTTGGTTGAACTGCTAAGACAATATGAATAGCCCGCCGACACATCGCAGACATATGTGAACCAGGCTTTAATTAGAACAACAGTAGGATAAGGAAACTACGAAAGTCAATGAGTACGAGTGTTGATTTATATAATAAAGTCACCGTGTAATTTGTGCACTGTTGCATGTAAGATCGAGCACTGCATTGTATACAATGGTTGTACTTCGACATGTGCATGGTTATACTCTAGCTCCTAGTTATAATTATAGTGGCTATCAAACGAAAAATATACGTGAGGTTATGAGCGATTTGCAACTCTCGTCTATTAAATTTTCCAGACCTGTATATACAATAAACAGCAAAACAATGATTACATCTTACATACCATACAATAGATCTTTTGATGTTGTTTGTTTGCAGAACCTAAAACCACGATGTAGTGCGCCATTTGTTTATTAACAATTAACACTGTACTATCTTGGTTTTAATCAGTTAAAATTATTTAGAATTCCTACCATTTCTATACGATATACTTCATGTAATTTAAACATTACGGCATTACGCCGACAGTTTCCGAATGCGTGACGATACTGTTTCTGGATATGGCACTGGGATATCATATGATGTAGATATCAAAACATTTATAAATATGTTTGTAGCATGAAGAAAGCACGAGATTGAAACAGTTTAAATAAAATGCAAGCTAAATAAAGAAGTTTTGACATGATACAAAACAAGACAATTTCACTTACAAGGGTGACAAGGTAAATTATGGGATTATAGCCTATTCAGTTAAAATACTGTATAAATACATTGTGTGTTTCTACCCCCTACAGTACCCCTTGTGATTTTTTTTGAAATCAAATATTTATTATATTTTGCAATTTTAACTCGATATGTGTAGTGCATGCCCCTTAAGTAGAGTATATTAACTGTTTACAATATTTGTGGTGTATATAAATGTAGCTATGCAGGGTGTTAGCCAGAAAAAAATATTTGTCCGTTAAACGTAAATTGGGAAAGTTTTAACTCGACTTAGCTGAATATTTTTCCCAAAATTCTTGGCGAGGGGGGGGGTTCACCAAAAAAAATTTTCAGGAGATATCAAAGAAATATTCTGTAATTTCCGCCAAATCCGAAAATTTTTTCACAGAATATTGAAATTTTTAGGTTTTGACAAATTTCGCATTGATTTTTGCCCGACCGTTAAAATTTTGGGGGACACGTGCTAATTCTCCAGTAGACCCAGTTGGAAAAGCCCTCAATTGGGAAGAGTCCGTCAAACGGACAGCATATGGGCTAGCTAACGCCCTGCTATGACCCCCAAGATGAACCCCAATGGCTTCTAAATAGAGAATGGGTGAAAAGTTCATGAATATTGAGCTTTATATGTGAATCAGGTTAAATACAATAGTTAACCTAGCTTTATATAAAATGTACATACATGTTCTAATAATTGTATTTTGCTTCATACAATGCATATGTGTGTGGAAACATTACATTATTATTCAGCTCACTCCCCACATTGGGGCTTTTCAGTGATCGATTACATCAAGTACTATGATTACGTATGTTAGCCTAGACTATTTATCTTTACAACAATGAGGATATGATATTACTTTCCTAACTGTGTTTATCCTAACCCACCCTGCCAATTTTGCCCTGTGGGAGGAAACCGGAGCAAAATATAGAATTCAATTCCTTTGAAAACACCTAAATTGCAATCCCTAAAATTAAAATGTTTTTCTTAAATCGCCTAAAATCGCACTAAATCGCAGTGCTTGAAAGTCCCAGTTTTTCCTTAAATCGCCTAAAATCGCACAAAATCGCATTATATCGCAGCGATTAGGGCGATTTACCGCCCCAGAGTAGGCCTGACACTCAAGTTTGAAAACTTTGTCTTTGTCCAAGACCAAGGGATAAATTGAACAGTGTATTCCGCAGTAAGAAAATTTTTATTAACGATTTTCCGTCCATACAAGCGTATTAAAACAATGTTACAAGACAAGAAGTATAAATAGTATATTACCACAGTCACAGATATGTCAACAGTTGAATATATATTGACAATTTTGAATTCGCTCGTTCCTTTTCGTGTTATAGTTTAGACTAAATCACTGCACTTTCCGCTTATTATCATATAAAATGTAGTCGACAATTTGAGTAGAAATATGTATATATCAACGATAAACTTTCACTTAACACCCTGTCTTGACATGAATCGAGGCAACGTGAATTATTTGACTGCTCTGGAAAATCACTCGTCTCTAAATAATCCCATTAAATCGCCGTTTCGGGTGACGATAACGTTATCAGCTCCTTATTCAAAGTTCCCTGTGTATATACAATGTTAAAAAGCAGGATTATTCGTTAATTTTACAGTTTTACTCGTCTTTTAAGCCATCGCGTTGGGAACAAAAATTTCTTCACTCCTTGCCGCAAGCCCTTCCTACTCCCTCTAAGTTTGAGTTTGTCGAAATTTGCATGCGCGAGCCGGTATGCGCAGTGCAAATTTTTGTGCCGATTTAGGGCAGGCATCTCACCAAACTTTTTCTCACCACCCGATTCCTCAGTGAGATGCCTGCGGAGGAGCCTATTATGCGTACGGAGCGTACGCAAAATTCCCATTGGTCAGAAGTGCCCCATGAGTTAATATCCTGCAAATATTTAACTCGTACGACATTTCGCAATGTAATTTTAAAGCTGGCATTCAGTCAGTGGCGTATAAAACCATGACTTTGTTTATCTCTTCGAAGAAGTAACTGAATGTATTTGATAAACTTTTCAATTTAAATTAACGTTGAAGGATGAGCGAAGGTTAGCAATATTAACTGTATTTCCAACGGGATTTGATAAAAGTTTACATGTAATATACCGATACTTTGTCTTCGTCAGCTATAATAATAAACCTTTTCCAAAGAAGTACAAGGGAAAACTTCGACGCATGCCTTGCTGATCTTTGCAGAGACAGTAAAATAAGTCTAGTTCAGGCTGACAATTTATCTAACCGCGTTTGCATCACTTGCGGTTTCAAACGTTGAACAACTTAAGGTTAGCCCAGCGAGACGTTCGTTGAGACAGCAGTGAATCAGCTAGTATAAAGCAGTTGATTGTCAAATGCCTCCGAACATTTCTCCCAAATACTTCACCCTGTCAACCCAAGGCTTTCTGCCTAAACAATCTGGTCTTGAACAAGTCAAGACAATGGGCAAATTATTAAAACAGACGCCGTCGAGGAAAGTCGTTCTTAGAACACCTGGCCAATTTGAATTTACACCTGGAAATTTTGCAATAGTCGTTTGCGTGTTTTTTGACGGAAGTCCGCTCTCTCTTCGAGACTTTATTTTTGGGAGTCTCAACTAGTGACATATATTATTACAACAAGAGCTTTTTTACAAAAAAAATGTAGTTATTAAACACGGCAGAATCAATGTCTCGGCCAGGAGCCTTGTCCTCAGCGTCACGAACCTTGTCCTCAGCGTCAGGAACCTTGTCCTCACCGCCAGAAACCTTGTCCTCAGCGTCAGGAACCTTGGTCTCACCGCCACGAACCTTGTCCTCAGCGTCAGGAACCTTGTCCTCAGCGTCAGGAACCTTGTCCTCAACGCAGGAACCTTGTCCTCACCACCAGAAACCTTGTCCTCACCGCCAGGAACCTTGTCCTCATCGCCAGGAACCTTGTCCTCAGCGTCAGGAACCTTGTCCTCACCACCAGGAACCTAGTCCCAAGCGTCAGGAACCTTGTCCTCATCGTCTGGAACCTTGTCCTCAGCGTCAGGAACCTTGTCCTCACCGCCAGGAACCTTGTCCTCACCGCCAGAAACCTTGTCCTCACCGCCAGTAACCTTGCCCTCAAAGTCAGCAACCTCGTCCTTACCGCCAGGAACCTTGTCCTCACAGCCAGCAACCTTGCCCTCACCGCCAGGAACCTTGTCCTCAACGCCACCAAGCTTGACCTCACCGCCAGGAACCTTGTCCTTACCGCCAGGATCCTTGTCCTCAGCGTCAGGAACCTTGTCTTCAGCGTCAGGAACCTCGTCCTCACCGCCAGGAACCTTGTCCTCAGCCTCAGGAACCTTGTCCTCACCGTCAGGAACCTTGTCCTCACAGCCAGCAACCTTGTCCTCACCGCCAGGAACTTTGTCCTCACCGCCAGGAACCTTGACCTCACCGCCAGGAACCTTGTCCTCACCGCCAGGAACCTTGTTCTCAGCGTCAGGAACCTTGTCCTCACCACCGGGAACCTAGTCCTCAGCGTCAGGAACCTTGTCCTCATCGTCAGGAACCTTGTTCTCAGCGTCAGGAACCTTGTCCTCAGCGTCAGCAACCTTGTACTCACCTCCAGGAACCTTGTCGTCAGCGTCAGGAACCTTGTGCTCACCGCCAGGAACCTTATCCTCACCGCCAGCAACCTTGTCCTCACCGCCAGGAACCTCATCCTCATTGTCAGGAAACTTGTCTTCACCGCCAGGAACCTTGTCCTCACCGCCAGAAACCCTGTCCTCACCGCCAGGAACCTTGTCCTCAGCGTCAGCAACCTTGTCCTCATCGTCAGGAACCTTGTCCTCAGCGTCAGTAACCTTGTCCTCAGCGTCAGGAACCGTGTCCTTACCGCCAGGAACCTTGTTCTCACAGCCAGCAACCTTGTCCTCACCGCCAGGAACCTTGTTCTCACCGCCAGGAACCTTGTCCTCACCGCCAGGAAGCTTGAACTCAGCGTCAGGATCTTGTCCTCAGCGTCAGGAACCTTGTCCTCAGCGTCAGGGACCTTGTCCTCAGCGTGATGAACTTTTCCTCACCGCCAGGGACCTTGTCCTCACCGCCAAGAAGCTTGTCCTCACCGCCAGGAACCTTGTGGTCGCCGCCAGGAACCTTGTCCTCACCGCCAGGAACCTTGTTCTCACCTCCAGGAACCTTGTCCTCACCGCCAGGAAGGTTTGTTCTCACAGCCAGGAACCTTGTCCTCAGCATGAGAAACCTTGTCATCACCGCCAGGAACCTTGTCATCACCGCCAGGAACCTTGTCCTCAGCGTGAGGAACCTTGTCATCACTGCCAGGAACCTTGTCCTCACCGCCAGGAGCCTTGTCCTCAGCGTCAGGAACCTTGTCATCACCGCCAGGAACTTTCGTCTCACTGCCAGGAACCTTGTCCTCAGCGTCAGGAGCCTTGTCCTCACCGCCAGCAACCTTGTCCTCAACGCCAGGAACCTTGACCTCACCTCCAGGAAGCTTGTCCTCACCGCCAGGACAAGGTTCCTGACGCTAAGGACAAGGTTGCTGACTCTGAGGACAAGGTTTCTCACGCTGAGAACAAGTTCCTGACGCTGAAGAGAAGGTACCTCACGCTGAGGACAAGGTTCCTGACGCTGAAGGCAAGGTTCCTGACGCTGAGGCCAAGGTTCCTGACGCTGAGGACAAGGTTCCTGACGAGGAGGACAAGGTTTCTGACGCTGAGGACAAGGTTCCTCACGCTGAGGACAAGGTTCCTGACGCTGAGGATTTCGAACCTTTTGTTCGATTGTATTTCTAGGCCCCTTGGAGCAAAAACTTGAATTTGTAATCTACGTTCAATAGGCTTTCTGTCGATGCCTCTTTCTTCCATAACAAGACGTACACTTTTTCAGCTGTGTAGTCGAAAAAGACGTGAAAGTTAATATTATGCTGTTTAGAACATTATGTCCTATTGATTTTGAAGGCTCCTGTAGCAGAGTTTTGGATTTGGGCCAGTCTCAAAATTGTATTTTGGAAAAACACAGCAGAAAAGTAAGGCTATATCCTTAACTTTTCGTCTATTTTTATCGAGTTTTTTCATTTTTCATAAGTTGGCAAAAACCAGCAAAAAAGTAAGGCTACATAGCCTTAATTTTTCGTCCATTTTTAGCGACTTTTGCCATTTTTCATAAGTGGGCAAAAAACTGCAAAAAAGTAAGGCTATAGCCTTAACTTTTCGTCCAATTTTCGCGACTTTTGCCACTTTTCATAAATGGGCAAAAAACAGCAAAAAAGTAAGGCTATAGCCTTAACTTTTCGTGCATTTTTATCGAGTTTTTCATTTTTCATAAGTGCGCAAAAACCAGCAAAAAAGTAAAGCTACGTAGCCTTAACTTTTCGTCCATTTTTAGCGACTGTTGCCATTTTTCATACGTGGGCAAAAAACAGCAAAAAGGTAAGGCTATTATTATTATTATTATTATTATTATTATTATTATTATTATTATTATTATTATTATTATTATTATTATTATTATTATTATAAAATACTTTATTAGCATGACCATAATTTACAAGGTATTGCTAAAGTAACTACTCTAATTATAACTATATAGGATAACAAAATATTTATATAAGAGAGAGGAAATATTAGTGTATATAAGAATAAAGTTTTGACTACCGTGTAGTTCATAGAGTCTTTTTTTTCAATATTAGATTAAAGGGAAAAGTATAGTAATTCATAGATGAATATTAGTATATTAATATATTTAGTTATAGTAAAATTACAGTGAATCAAGGGCACTTGTCTCTGACCGAAAAACATTTCGATATGAAATTTGAAAAAAGAGTTGTTAATACTTGGTCATTGTTGCACAACACGTGAGTCAGCAAATCTTCTTTTGATTTTGTTGTTAATTGCATTTGAAAAATATTCTTCAAAATATTGTTAGTATTGTTCCTTAGATTGTCGTATTTATGGCATTCAAAGGCAAAGTGAAATTCGTCTTCAACGGAACCACTGTGACAGTGTTTACAAAATCTTTCTTCACGTGGTATTTGTTGGTACCGACCATATTCGATCAGTAATTTGTGATTACTGATTCGAAATTTTGTGTAAATTCGTCTTTTGGATGGTTCCTTTATTATACTTAAGTAGTCTTCTAATTTATATTTTTCTTAAATCTGCTGTAAAACGAAAGTTTTGAGGAGTTGTTAATTTGTTGTTTCCATTCTGAGACGTAGTTGTTCTGAATTATATCGATTATAACATTTATTTTTGTATCGGTTATAAATTTTTCTAGATCTACTGGTTCAATTAGAGTGGGAAAGTGTTTTTTCAGGAAATTTACAACGTTCGAGTAAAAAAAATCTTTGCCTTTCAAATATAGTTCTCTCGAGCTACGAAATGCTAGTTTTGCTATCGATGAGTCTGGTAGGTTTAAAATTAACGCCAAACACAAAATTTGATATTGCCAGCCAACAACTGAGCGAAAAAGCAATACATGCTCTGTACAAAATACGCAAACAGATTGATTTGCACCAACTACCACCAAAACTAGCTTCTTCGACAGTGTAATATCTCCGATATTACTATATAAGTCCAAGGTATGGGGGGCATACACAATCGGAGACTTTACAAAATGGGATAAAACTTGGACAGAAAAAGCCCATCTAAAATTTTGCAAACTCTACCTAGGAGTAAATAGGAAAGCCAGCAACGTTGCAAGCGGAGGGGAACTTGGAAAATTCCCATTGCTATTGCCCATAATTAAAAGAACACTAAGTTATATTATTAATATATCTAAACTAGGTACGTATATTCATTAGTCATGGAGATTGGATTTTTTAAAATGTTAAATTGAATGTTTTTTGGTTTAGATTTATGTTTTTGCAGAATCATGACTTTCGTTTTTTTGAGGTTGACTTCCAATAGCCATTTTTCGCTCCAGTTGTGTAGCGTATCTAGGCAGTTTTGGAGACCGGTTTTTGATCGTGACAATATTACTAAATCATCAGCATAGAGAAGGCTGCTTATTGTAGTACTATTTGGTAGTATGAAGGGATCAGAAATTGTTTCTTCGAATAATTTTGGTAGTTCATTAATATATAAGTTGAATAGTAATGGACTTAAAACACAACCCTGACGAACTCCCTTGCGGTAAGGGAAGAAGGACGTTCTACGATCTGATATCTTCACTGCACACCTAGTGTTAGTGTACAGATCTTTTATCAGATCGTAGAATCGTCCTCCTATTTTGTTTTCTAGTAGTTTTAAGAAAAGGCCATCATGCCAGATAGAATCAAACGCTTTTTTGAAGTCCACGAAGCAAGCATATATTTTTTCATTACTGTATTGTTTTACGTATTTGTCGTGAATCGTTTTTAATGTTAATATGTGATCGGCTGTTCGATTGCCAGGCATAAAGCCTATTTGCGAGTGATGAATAATCTTTTCTTGCTCCGTATAACTCATTAGTCTATCATTTAGAGTTAGACAGTAAAATTTTTTTAGAGAACTTGACACACAGATTCCTCTGTAGTTATTTGGATCTAATTTATTACCTGATTTATAGATTGAGGTAATAAGACCTTCACACCAAAATTCCGGAAACTTTCCAGAATTTAAAATTATGTTGAATAGTTTAACAAATCCTTGTGTTAGAATATCTGCACTAGACTTAATCATTTCATTTTTTATTTTGTCTGAGTATGCAGCTTTTTTCAATTTTAATTTCATTGCTGTTTTTATTATTTCTTGTTCAGTTATTTCTGTGTCAAGTGTATTATGTTGATCTCGAAGTGTCTCTTAGTTTTGAAGATTTTCAACGATTTTTTCATGTTCTTTAGTTAGTTTGTGCTTGCAGTGCAATTTGGAAAAGTGATTGAACCAATCATCCCCTTTTGGGGTGTTGTCGGAATTAGCATTGTTTATTTCATCTGAAGCGTTTCGGAAAGTTTTCCAGAACGAATTAGGATTGTCTTCAGCAGCCTTTTCTAGTTCAATTAGCATGTCGTTTTGAAATTTAGTTCTTTTTCTTTCTAAAGTTTCTTTGTAGGATTTGAGAGCAGTATGGTAGGCTTCTCTTATAGCCAAATTTGTTGGGTCTCTATGTTTTTGATTTGCAATTTTACGTAATTCATGTCTTTTAAATCGACATTCCTTATCAAACCATTTTTTGTTTTCTACGTTGTTTATTTTTCTTCTAGTTTTCTTTTTTCTTATTTTCAAAGATTTTTTTGCTGCGTGAGTTATAATATTTTGGAATTCCGTCACACATTCATTAACTCCTTTTTCGTCATTAGTGAATGTGGACTGCAGAAACTGATCAAGTTTTCTTTGTATTTCAGGTGATTTTAGAGTTTGTCTGAAATTTCTTTTTGAGTTTTCAGACCAATCAAATTGAAGTTGTAGTTTATGTAAAGGGGTTTGTTCAGGTTTGGACCGGTTTTTTTCACTGTCAAGTAAAGTTTTTTCAAGATCAATCCATGTAACTATTTGACTGTTGTCCGATAAATAGGTTGGTGGCTTTACAACAAAATAGTTAACATTTTGAAATGTTTCTTGATCGCATATTATATAGTCAACAGTACTTATACCATTGTTTCCATGAAATGTGGGTCTACCTAAAGAATCGCCTTTGGTTCTTCCATTTAGGATTCTCATGTCAGTATTTTTGCATATGTTGATAAGTTGTAAACCATGGTTGTTTTTAGTATTATCAAAGTTGAGTCTGTTTTTTGGTTGTAGACTATCATCACTTAAATCATTAGTATAGTTATTTCCATCCTTGGAAACAAAATCGTTAAGTGTACTTGTTCTTCCATTAAAATCACCTAATAATATTGTATTACCTTTTGAGAGAAAATTAATTACATCATTTTCTAATTCATCAAAAATTTTTTGATCAAAGTACGATGATTTTTCTGGTGGTATATAGGCACCACAAAGGAATAAGTCTCTATTATTGTTGAAAAGGTCTTTAGAGACTTTACACCAAATGTAATTTTTAGATTTTTCCTCAATTGAAACATATTTTTCATATTTGAGTTTTACTAAAAGTGTAACCCCACCGGACATCCTACTGGGTCTGTCAGTGCGAGGTGTTGTGGGGTCAGAGACAAATGCCTTGAAATCTGGAATACTAATTTCTTTATCAGACCATGTTTCAGTTAAGAACATGAAGTCTGTTTTCATAATATTATCAGTAAAGTCCTTGATTTTCGTTTTATCACCAAGGACATTATGTGATAGGCCATGGATGTTCCATGTGCTGAAAGACAGGCTATGGGGCATTTTTGTGAAGATTTATGTGAAATATTTGGTAGAGAAAGACTTATAATTTCATTGAGGATAAATATTAAATTTCTAGATTAATACTTTTTTTTTAAGTTGGAGGATAGTGAGAAAAGAAAATATATATAAATACATAAATTCTTATTTCTATGTTCTAAGATTGCAATTATAACTAGTTAACATACCTAGTATGTAAAACTTTGATCAGTTGGACCATTTCTTGTAATAATTTCTCTTCTTGGTGTTTCGTCATTCTGTTTCCTGCAGTTTGACTGGTGCTTTTGTGTGGTGGGTGTTGGTTGAATGGCATGCGGTTGTCGAAGAAAGGAGTATAGCGGTTGTTTATTGTGTGGAGCTCATTTGGATGTTGATGGTTTGTGGTGTGGTTCTGGTGGAAGGGTGGAAGTGTCGTATTGGTTTGTTGGTTGATTCTTTGGTTGGATTGCCATCTGGGTTTTGTTGGGTGATTGTGGGATTTTCTTGTTTTGTCGGTATTTGGGGGAGAATGACCAAAGTATGCTCTTTTAAGGTTTAAGGCGAAACGTTTGACGCCAATCGTGTTCAGATGTTTTTTGTCACGCAGGTCTTCTATCTTGATGTTGTCATGTTTGACAACATAGATTTTGGAAGCCGAGAATGTTTCTTCTAGACTGTGGTTAATGTTTTTGGTCCTTTCATTCAGGTTGTCTTTTCTGGGTAATAGTGTTGAGAGAATCACTTTACTTTCAGGGTGTTTACTGGATATGGTTGTTACCGTGGATTTGAGACGTCCTATGATTTCTTCATCTGATTGGTTAGACTCCAGGTCATTGGTTCCATAGTGAAGAAGGAATGTTTTAGGGTTCGTGAATGTGGTTTGTTCTATGATCTTACTAGCATCATTCAGGGTTGGACATCGGATGTAGGAAGTCCTTGAACCAGGGCATAACAGGTTGGGGTTTATGTGACGACCATTGCTGTCACACAAGATAATTGTTTCTCCATTGTTTACTTTATTGGGTTGAGGTGGTTGGTCTTCGGAGTGGTCTAAGAGGGTGTTCTGTGATGTCGACATTTCATCTCTTTGTATTTCATCCTCATCAGGTTGATTCAGGTTGTCTTCTAAGGTACCAAAACTGTTTGAAATGGGCACTGCTATGTTTGGTTGAATTTGGCTGGTCGTTTCTTCGTTTGTCTGAATATTTTCCTTATTTAGTGTTTGTAATTTTAGTAATAGATCAGTATTCTTTTTCTCTAAGGTTTGTGTTTGTTTTTTAATTTTTTAAGTTCATCTTCAATTTGTGATTGTTGTAAATTCAGGTCACATATTGACTGTTGTTGGCTTAGGTTGGTTGTCTTGAGTAGTGTTATTTCAGTTTTTAGATTATTGATTTCACCGTCTTTATTGTCGAGCTGAACTTTGAGGACATTGATGCTCATTTGGGTCGTTTGCTTAAAAAGAACAAAGTCAGCTTCAAGTGAGGCTAGGCTGCTTTTCATACTCGAAAACATTGGTTCATCATTTAAAGAGTTAGTATTGTCTGGTTCTGATATATCGTCGATGGCATGGGCATCTTTTTCCATAGTGCTCGGTTTTTGATTAATTGTTATTAGTTCAACGAAAGTTTCTAGATCTTTGGTTGGATTGGTTTTGGCAGGACTAGAATTAATAATTGCCAGGAGTCGCGGAAATTCTTCGTTGCCCCATTCTTTGTAGGACCTTTCTTGTACTTGAATTCTCCCATTATTTATCAGTGCTGTGATGGTGATGAGATTCTGATTAATCGAGTTTTTGGACGAAGATAGATGGATTGTTACCTTGTCGCATTTCGTTGAGTCATCCTTGTTTTCATTTCATTCCCAGTGCACAGTGCAAAAAACAGCAAAAAAGTAAGGCTATAGCCTTAAATTTTCGTCCATTTTTAGCGACTTTTGTCATTTTTCATAAATGGGCAAAAAACAGCAAAAAAAGTAAGGCTATAGCCTTAACTTTTCGCCCATTTTTATCGACTTTTGCCATTTTTCATATGTGTGCAAAAAACAGCAGAAAAGTAAGGCTATAGCCTTAACTTTTCGTCCGGTATTAGCGACTTTTTCCACTTTTCATAAGTGGGCGAAAAACAGAAAAAAAGTAAGGATATAGCCTTAACCTTTTGGTTGGCGACTTTTGCCATTTTTCATAAGTGGGCAAAAAACAGCAGAAAAGTAAGGCTATAGCCTTAACTTTTCGTCCATTATTGGCGACTTTTTCCACTTTTCATAAGTGGGCGAAAAACAGAAAAAAAGTAAGGATATAGCCTTAACTTTTCGTCCATTTTTAGCGACTTTTGCCATTTTTCATAAGTGCGCAAAAAACAGAAGAAAAGTAAAACTATAGCCTTAACTTTTCGTCCAATTTTAGCGACTTTTGCCACTTTTCATAAGTGGGCAAAAAAGGGCCAAAAAGTAAAGCTATTATAGCCTTAACTTTTCGTCCATTTTTATCGACTTTTGCCATTTTTCATAAGTGGACAAAAAACAGCAGAAAAGTAAGGCTATAGCCTTAACTTTTCGTCTGTTATTAGCGACTTATTCCACTTTTCATAAGTGGGCAAAAAAACAGCAAAAATTAAGGCTATAGCCTTAAATTTTCGTCCATTTTTATCGACTTTTGCCATTTTTCATAAATGGAAAAAAAAACAGCAAAAAAGTAAGGCTATAGCCTTAACTTTTCGTCCATTTTTAGCCGATTTCTCAATTTTTGGAAGAGGCAAAAAACTGCAAAAAATAAGGCTATAGCCTTTACTTTTCCCGATTTTTAGGCGATTTTTCAATTTTTGAAAACGAAAATTGGCAAAAAAGTAAAGCTATAGCATACTATACTTTTTCGTCATTTTTTTCGTGCCAAAAAGTAAAGGGTCAGTCCTTTAATTTTTGGCGACTTAATTTTTTTAAATAAAATTTGGTGATAAGAGATTATGTAGAAATTAGTATAGATACCCCCACTGATTAGATCTTCTAGTCGAGTGGTAGTCTCCTGGTGTTGGGTGAGGGAGTACTACGGATCGGTCCCTGTTCTAGTCAAAACCATTTTAATGTCAGGCATCGTTGTTAATTAATTCCACCCGAGACGAGAATGAATTAAATAGAATAAAAAAAGAATTAAAGCAAGTGTAGGCGAGATGGTCTAGGGGTCAGGACAAAGTGTTGTAAGTGCGTAAGGCCAAGTTCGATTCCTGGTTGTATCATAAGCATTTAAATGTCAGGCGCCGTCCTTAATTATTCCACCCGAGACGGGGAAAAGTTAAGTAGAAT